GAGCGGGGAGGGAGGGGCAAAATGAGGAGCTGATGCCAAGGGCTCAAATAGAAAGCAAATGTTTTGAGAATGATGATGGCAACAAATGTACAAATGTTCTTGACATCTGTATGTATGTATGGATTGTGATGAGTTGTATGAGCCCCCAATAAAATGAATAAAAAACAAGCAAACATAAACAAATAAAATAGAAAAATTAAAAAAACCTTGGTTAAAACTGAACCGCTATTATACGCTGTCGGCAAGAAGACAGCCTCTGGTCTTTTAGATTGCCTTTCCCAGTGTGAAATTATCTGTCTTATAAGCAAGTTGTGGAAAGGGCAGATCGAACCCTGAAGGGCAATTAGAACTGAGCCCCTCCACAATAGGCTTGGCCCTGTATAACACTGTAAATTCCACAGCTTGCCCAGTGAACCTACGCTTAAGATATGAGACTTGTCACCGTGTTTATATACATATATACACACACTCCTCACATATTGCCCGTAATGATCCTGTTCTTCCCTTCCTGATAGGGAGCCTGGGTGAGTGGTTACACTCACTCGGCAGGGCAGCTATCCACAAAGTCAGCAGTCGGAAGCCACCAGCCGCTCCAAGGAAGATTTTTTGCCTCTGAAACGCACGGGGTCAGTTCTTCTCTGTCCTACATGGTCCCTGAGTGGAGCGCATGCAGTGGTAGAGAGTTTGGAGTTTGGCTATTTCCTGATGACCCCTCTCCGACTTAAGCCCTTCCTTCTGGGGCAGTATCCCTTCACAAGGGAACACCAATCCTGTACAGAAAGGACAGAAACAATCTATAGGTGAGCTTGTTAGGGAGGTAGAGGCAGAAACCAGGGGCTGTCCTGCTACATGCCAAAGCCTCCCTCCCCCCTTTACAGGAAGTTGGAAGCCGATCAAGGCTAGAGGGCATGCCTGAATTCAGGCCTTTGAGACAGGAAGCCAGTACACCTGGGTGGGTCCCATTCAAAGCCAGGTGGGCTTAATTCAACCAATGGGGTCGACCAGTACCATCTACCATGCCTCACAGCAGAGGGTCCTAAAAGAGACCACCACTCTCTTTTCCAGGGCTTCGGTTTTTCCCTCCCCCACCCTCAGTTTTCCACGTGTGGGTGTGAAATGCCCTGAGGGAGACTGTGTAAAACCTGAAACTCCTTCCATCCTTTATAAAAACTCACCTGGATCACAAACCAGGCTTCAGCGCAAATTCTTTCTCATGTGAAGTCAAAGACCGAGGTCTGTCCACCCGAGGAACCTAAGAATCTCAGAACAAAAGACCTTTGGTCAGGAACCCAAGTCACTAGAGAGATATCACCAGACCAACTTGGACATTTGAAAATGCGGTCCTCCCATGCTGTCCTGCAGGGCCTGGCCGCCCACCCCAAGTTCCTCACACTGCCCTGGGCCCATTGGTTGGATTGGTTCCTGTTGAGAAACCGTAGCTGGGCCTCTGGCTAACCTTTCAGCTGTTGTTACTTGATGAAGTCAAGGGCCTAGCCTTGGCCACCTGCCATCTGTCCCCCTCAGTCTGAAGCACTGGGCCTGTCTCCTCCCTCTGGTCCACGCCAGTTCTTGGGCAGCAACTGCCCTTCCATGGCACAGGTGGCTTTCTCGACTGCTTGTTAGGAACCTGCATGTGACATGTGATGCTGCTCCCATCTGTGGGGCTGACCTCCAGGTCGGCGGGGCTGGGCCAGGCCCAGCACAGGCGCTCTGCTGCTGCAAAGAAACACCCCAGCTATGCTGTCCGACTGCCCTAGGGCCAGAGCACTTCCTAACGTGGCAGTCCCCGGGCCTGCTAGACCAGCCCACATTCACCCCGACAAGTTACTGATGGCCCCCCGCTCAGCTCTGAGGCCTTGCATGGAAAGGCCTGTGCAGGCGACAGCCCTCTGACAGGAGCCCAGGGAAGCAGCGTCCTGACCCCAGCTGAGCCTGGGAGGAGCACAGACCAGCTCCTGCAGCAGCTGGGCCAGACACCTGTCCCCAGGTGGTAGCACCCCTTCTCCAGCCCACCTGGTTTGGAAATACTGAGCTACCCATTTAAAATGTTTTCAGAGAGATTTCCAATAAACTGTTTTACTTCAAAAAAAAAAATGAGGTCCTCTTACATTTCCTGACCAAGAATCATAAGCCCACCCTAAGGAATATTCATGACCGTTCCTGAAAAATCAGTTACATGTTCACAATCCCTTCTGTTTACTTCTTGGTGTACACTCACAAGTGGGTTGCAAATTGGGCAGCTAACAGTAATGTCCGCAGTTTGAAACCACCAGCTAGCTCTGAGGGAGAAAGGCGAGGCTTTCTGTTCCTTTAAATGTTGAGGCTGCAATCCTCAGAGGTAGCTCTATTGTTCTACAGGGGTGATGACTCAGAACTGATTCCATGGCTGTGAGTTTGAAGGCTTACCTTTTCGATAAGTGCCATTCAGTTCTGACTCAAGATGACCCAGGAACAACAAAGTGAAACTGCCCTGCGCTACCCCATACTCTCAATTGGTTCTGAAGCAGTCATTGCCAATCCATCTTACACACTCATAAAACTTCAAGTCTTGTCTCGGGAGCTAGCTTTGGCCACGCTAGTCCTGGTTTACTCCTTGTTAACCAAAGATGTCCCCTTTTCCTTTCATCCAATCTTTGAAACATCAGTCGGCAAGAACTCCCATTATTCTTGGCCTGGGTGTAAACAGGGCAGAGCTTCCGCTGTGGCAGTGTCAGCAGGGAGTAGGTGGAGGAGCTCCATCCTTTGGCCACAATACCAGAATCCACTACTGCCAATTTTGTGTCTTTTACATTTTGCTTAGGATTTAGATTTCCTTGAAT